AGAAACGCCTAAAAGTTGGATGCTCCAGCTAGACAGACACCAAGACTTACAGAACTTCAATAAAGCTATCACATACTACTCGAATATATACATTTCTATTTTTAAAAAAAAGAAAGGTAGCTATTATTATATTTTAACGCTTACGAAACGCATTCAAAAATGTCACTTTCATTCACAGATGTTTCCATTATTTTGATAACCCCCTGTGTATATATATGTTAGATTTAAGGCGGATTCTCTTGCCAAAAAATGAACAACTATCACGCAAATCTTTTGTAAAGACATTTCTTTTCACTCGAAACTGATGATCCGAGACTTCTTTCGGAACACTCTATCTGATAATCTACTTGAAGGCAACTCATCTAAAACCTGGTTTAAATTTATTCTAAACATCACTGATCAGCCCAGGTTTAAAGCTGTTGCCCTTTTCTGATTCCTGACGGGCCATGATTGTATGACCAATTATCTAAACATGTCACTATGTGATTTCTTTCGATTCTCGTTGTTGTTTTCTTGTTCCTTGTGTTCTTTTTCTTTTATTACTTTTTGTAGCCTGCCATTGGAAGAAAAAAAAAAAAAAAAAATGTTAGACTTACGGATGTTAAGACTTAATTTTCTTTGAAAATTTGTTTGATATACATTTTGATTAATTAAATTTTAATAATTATTTAAAGCTTAACAGCAGTTAATAACAGGATCTTTATATTTGGTTATTTGCATTTAATTGTGTTTTACAAATCTATAGAAAAATGTTGAATTGTTTTCAACCTATCATGAGATTGAATTTAACTGTTTTTCGTATTTACTAATATCATATAAATTCTAAATTGTATGCCGTCTCGCATTTCAAAACTATAAGTCGATTGCTTAAAATTGTGGAACCTGAAATAACTATATTGCTTTGATAAACAAGTTTTTTTTTTTTTTTTTTTTTTTTTTTTTGAATAAATTATTCAATGTACCTATTCTAATAAATGTTGAATGTATCCCATATGCTTTGACTTTTCATTTACTGATTATATATTTTTTATATTGTAATTATAACATGTTTTTTGTGAATAAGTATACAGCTTTCAAAGCTTATTAGATATTATGATGCAATTTATTCGATAGTTAATTATGTGATCAAAATTTTACTTATCAATGTTTTTACAATAAAATTTTATTTACCTTAATATTTTTTTTTTTTCTAATAAGATGTAAATTCAAGAATAAATGTTTGTAACGACATCAAACATATTACACCTTTTGGGGGCCTGCACAGTCGAGTGGCTGGCGCTCGGTACCACAGGTTTCGGGTTCGAATCCCGGTGGTGCCATGGATGTTTGTAGGGGTTCGGAATCCACTTTAAGCCGTAGGTCCCGGTCTCCTATGACTGTAAGAGCGTCACGGAGCAAAAGTCAGACTTCAACCTACGAGGGCTACATCACAACAGAAGCTCCCTTTCCTTCCATCCATGAGTAGATCACTCATGGGATGCCCGCCCCGCACTGCAAGATATTGAGGATTAGTCACAAGCAAACACCTTTCGGTCCAGTGGTTTAAGTTCAAAATCACCACAGTATTTTAATGTTTTTCACATGACAGCCAGTAGTTTCTTAATCAAAACAAAAATGTAAAATAATTTTGATCCTACTGTAAAACTCTAGATGGCAGCACATGTCCAGAAAAAATGTTTAATAGAAATTAATAATTTTGTGTGTGGCTATTCAACACCTGCTAGATCACAGTAGGAATAAGCCAACACTTCCTAAATATCTATGAGGTGTTGGAACAACACACCTGCCCTAGAGATAAGAAGGGGACTTTCAAGATTAAATTCCCCATATTTGCTTGTCGTATAGAATACACTCGGAATACTCTCAATGGCTGCCTGACTGACGGCAGTACAAGATGCTTTATACACATTCGCCGTCGAGTTTCTACATTTCTGAAAGCAGCAACGACATCAATAGATTCGAACCTGAATCCTCCTTCGTATTGCCCCTAGGTGTGAATAGCGCTTCTATCGAAATTGTTTTTTGGTAGTTTCAAGTTGCATTTATTTTAAAATTTCTAAATGTTTAAAATAAAACAAGTAATATAAAAAAAAAAAAAATTAAAGTCAATTCCTACTTTTTTTTCACTCTATTGCAGAAAGTCCTTTATAAATAGTTTCATTCATTTTTTTAAGTTTATCTGCCGCCATCTATTGGTAGATATATGCCACTTAAATCTAAAAGAACTAAAATGAATTAATTTAATTTAATTACTGAATTAATATATGAAAAGACTGTATTAACATTGTTAAAGTGTCCTCCACTACAAGTTCAAAAAGAAATGTATTTGAACTTGAGTGGATGAATAAAAAGTATTTTATTAGCGATTGAAAATGTGAACAAGATATATATAGGGAGAGTGTGAGCTAATAGAAGGAATTGAAAAAAAAACTGTCTGCGTAGAATAGATTTTTTAAGTTTGAATTGATACACATTTCTTTCATGTTCATTGCATTTTTCAATCTTGATCTTGATCTTGTAGAGCTCGAATTGTAACCAAATCTTGTTGGAGCAATAGATGCCATGATCTCAAGATCAGTTTGATTAGCATATTTAAGGAGTTGGTTGCCTCTTGGTCTATTAGTAGTGCAATTCCAGATTTGGTGATGAGCATTAAAGTCACTACACGTGATAATTTTGTTGCATAATACTTTCAAGATCTATTGTGAACAGTTGAAGATCATATATAACGTTTATAGATGTAATAATTATAGGACCCAGATTAGGCTATGGTTTAGAGTAGGGATGGGCAAAAATCGCGGGCCAAAAATCAAAAAAAAAAAAATTTGGCGGGCCAAGATAAATTTTTCTAAAATTTTAAAAACACTATACAAGTATTACAAATTAAATAGGTTAATGAGATGAAGGACATTGCGATTTCATTTTTAAAAGTTCCTTATAGTGAGGTTCGAAGTGAGATGGACTGATTCTAAGGAACGAGGCTAAATGCTCATCTGTCAGTCTATTTCTGAAATAATGCTTTCTAAGGTTCATAGTTGAAAACATTTGTTCACATATATAAGATGAAGCATATAAACATAGCATTGATTTTCTGGGTGTGAGATATTAAATTTGGGAAACTTACTTTCGATAATGATTTGTAAAACTTTTAACTTTGACATATTTGGAAACAACTGCTTGACATATTTGTTAAATTGAAACTCAATTAATTCAACCTTCAAATTTGACCTCACTGTTTCACAATTTATGTTGAAAGGCATGGTAAAAATATCCAAATAGAGAAAGTAAAAGTCCTTTGAAAAAAAAGGAAGAAAAAATAATATTTAATCAAAGTAGAAAAGGAGATAGATATATAATATATATTTTTTTTAATTTGCCTAGGACCGGAAAATTAAAATCCTAACCGCGGGCCGGATAGAACCTTCCGGTAGGCCGTAGTTTGCCCATCCCTGGCCTACCACCTGCACGAGTTGAAGCAAGACTCAATACAGTCACCGAGCGAGTCAATATCACTTCATCATCAAACACTCGGCATAGAAACTATTTTTAGCTCTCTGTGACTCGGGAAATCAAAACATGTCCAATAAAATTTCAGTTGGGGAAAAAAACGGCGTATTTTCTTAAATAATAATTGCAAAGCCTGAAGTTTAGGGGCTTGACATCTTTCTTCCCAATAAATTAATAGTTTAAAAAAACTGAAAAACACGCTTTTAGAGTTAATCAAATTAAAAAGTAAAAAATAATTGTTAACATAAGAATAAAATGAATGTCACTGTTCTAAAAGCGGGGGGTGCTCGATATCAATCGTTATAATTTTTCACTAGTTTCATTCCGAAATGCAGAGTTAGTTTAAAAATGTCATACAAAGCACCCCACGCTTATAGAACAGCGACATTCATTTTCTCATCAGTCATTTTATTCTTATGTTAACAATTATTTTTTACTTTTTAATTTGATTAACTCTAAAAGCGTGTTTTTCAGTTTTTTTAAACTATTCATTTATTTTTTACTTTTTAGTTTGATTAACTCTAAAAGCATGTTTTTTAGTGTTTTTAAATTATAATATTTAAATGAGGTGTAATTGTAATTGTGAGTAAAACAAAGGCTAAATGCGAATATGTCGAGCCAGCCAGGATTCGAACAGGGAATCTCCTGATCCGTAGTCAGGCGCGTCATCCATTGTCCCACGTAGGTTTGAATGTCTTTACTGAATACTTTCATTCTACATGGGTTAAATTGCACTTTATAAATTAAAATAAAATCTCTAATCCTGGTGATCTTAATCATGATGAGATAATAAACTTATCAAACTACTTTAGTGTCGTTGGTCCTTCATAAGTCTACAACGTTTAAATTAACTCTGATCGCTTAAAGTAGGGCAAAATCGAGCCCAAAGAGTCAGTTACAAACAAACATTCAGATGAAACTAATATAATAGCGTATTAAAAAGAATCAACTGTTTTCTTTCTGAAAGATGCCTGTAAATGTTTCTTTGCAGCTTAAATAGTGTATATGAGGAGAAACAGATCTCCAGGGGAAAAAGTCAGTTACATACAAACATACAGGTGAAACTAATAAAAGCGTATTAAAAATGAAATCATTTTAAAGCAATAGAAATAAATAACTTGGGAAATGGGTTGCATGAACATAAACTACGAATTACAAAGTGGCGCTTTCAATAGCAAGGACTTTCCGATATAATTATGATTTTTTTTTTGTTGTTGTTGTTGTTGTTTCTTATCCCACTTGGCTGGCCAAGCCCACGAGCCCATATGGACTCATGATTGAAGGGGAAGGAAGCAGCTTCTGTTGTGATGGAGCACCAGTAGGTAGAAGCCTGACTTTTGCTCCTTGACGCTCTTTACAGTCATAGAAGACCGGGACCTACGGCTTAAAGTGGATTCCGAATCACTACAAACATCCATGGCACCGTCGGGATTCGAACCCGAAACCTGTGGCACCGAGCGTTAGACACTCGGCCATTCAGGTCCCAAATTTGCCAACGGCACGCAGTGTTCCCAGGTGGTCACCCACCCAAGTACTGACCGCGCCCAATGATGCTTAACTTCGGTGATCTAACGAGAACCGGGTTTTTTTTTTTTTTTTAAATCCTGTTAATATAAAATCCAAAAAAAAGAACTGTGATATCCTTAATAATCGATTCCACTTTTCACAAACTGAAAAAGAAATCAATCTTTTTGAAGCGGGCCTTTCTTTTTCAGTTCCTTCTATTAGCTCACACTCTCCCTCTATATATACATTGTTCAAATTTTCAATCGCTCATAAAATTATTTTTATTCATCCACTCGAGCTCAAATACATTTTTTTTTAATTTGTAGTAGATGGCACTTGATGTGAATACAGTTTTTTTCAAATATTGATTCAGTAATTAAATTTAATTCATTCCTTTTAGTTTTTTTTAGATGCAAGTTGCATATATCTACCAAAGAGGGCGCCAGATAAAAAAAAAAATGAATGAAAATTATTTATAAAGGACTTTCTGGAATAGTGAAAAAAAAGTAGGAATTGAATGAAAAATGAATGAATGAAAAAAAAAAATGAATGAATGAAAATTATTTATAAAGGACTTTCTGGAAGGACTGGAATAGAGTGAAAAAAAAGTAGGAATTGACTTGAAATTTTTTTTTTATATTACTTATTATGGATGACATTTGAATGTTATGTTATTTTATCATAAGACAGTAGATATTTGTATCTATGTAAGTCTAATCGAAGCCTGTTGTCTCTATACCGGAGATGGCCATGATGAATTCACGGGGCGGAAAGCCCTTCCGCTGGTCTAGATGAAGAAGGGGGAAATCCTTCAGACACCATTCGTCCAAATTGTGGTGATAGATACCTGTTTATATTTTACTTTTCAATTTTTTATTCCGTGCTTACGAATAAAAATACCGGAAAAAATAATTCATTTTTTTAGACATGAATTACAGAACATAAATGTAAACAAAAAAAATTATAGTTTAAAAAAACACGCTTTTAGAGTGAATCAAACTAAAAAGTGAAAAATAATTGTTAAAATAAGAATAAAATGACTGACGAGAAAATGAATGTCACTTTTTTAAAAGCGTGGGGTGTTTTCTATGACATTTTAAAACTAACTCTGCATTTCGGAAGGAAACAAGTGACGATTGATATCGAGCACCCCACGCTTTTAGCTTAAAATGCGTAGTCTTCCACATGTGAGGTTTAATTCACCTATATTGGATTCCCATATGTAAGCTCCCCGGGAAAGAGATAACGCTTGTTGGCGCCAGTATCTACAGCTATAACTAACAAAGAACTTCCACTTCTTAACACTTCACCGATTGAAAGCTGTCTGTGCTTGCTATTTCCGTCAATTTATGTCTTGTAGAACAAAACTAGAGAAAGTAAAAAGATCATCAGTCCTTTGAAAACAAATAATATTTAATCAAAGTAGAAAAGGAGATGGATATATAAATATATATTTCTTTTCATTTGCCTCGGACCAGCAAATTAAAATTCTATCCGCGGGCCGTAGTTTGCCCATCCCTGCTCTAGGAGATTTAATCTGAAGCTTGGAGGACTGACTGATGGAGGTCTCAGGAAAGAGTCCTTCGAAAGTACCACCTCCTGTCCCATTGCATTTTGAGGATAAATTCCTTCAGAATGATGGCGCTGTCTGTGCGACAATCGCAATGCTACAAAAAGAACTTTCGGATCATCAAACTGGCAACTGGCGTACCGATTACGGTGTACCAACAAGAGAAAGATAAGGGAAAATACCCCTTAAACCTCCTCATCTTAATTCATAACTATGCTTTGAATTATAGTTGGCTGCTTAATTAATGTTAGTAAAAATACCAGATAGAGTTTCAAAAATTCAGTTAAAGTGGTACTAAAAAAAAATAAAAAATACTAAAAGCAAAATAACAGAATTTAAAAGTTAAGTTTAAATTCGGTACCAGTTGGCGATGCCACAAAACTATTGTAAAAATGTAAACAGATGCTTAAGAATAATGTGAACTAAACAACACTGAAAGGGTTATGCTGAACGGTGCCATAATGAATGATCAGAAAAGTAAATTTTTTTCCACACACAAAAAAAAGGTCGAAATCAGAACCGATATTTTTAGTTATTTTCTTTATTTTAATCCATCCTTTTATTTTCCTAATAAAAAAAAGGGGTAAAAAAGCGTACAATAAAAACCTAACTATTCACTAGTCGTTATAATAGAATAATGGTGCACATCGTATATAAAAATAGTGAATTGGACCTAGTATGAGATTCGAACCCTCAACCATCATCAAAAGAACCATGCCTTTTGCTCTTCCAGCTCCTTTTTTCGGAACTGGAGACCTCCCGCCGGTTGCTCAAGCTAAATTGAGGATTGTTAATTTTGTAACACATAGTGCTGCTAACTTTAATTTCATCTAAATCAACTACACCTAATACAGGTTTGGCAACCTTTTCAAAATTAAGACTTTATTTATAGGTTAATACTCACGTATATGCATAGGTATGTCTAAATATGCATTTCTCTATGAGTAGTGATGCACTGGTATAGGTAAAGATGTACACTTAAATATACATGTATCCTCAACTACAACCGCATGTATGTATGCATTTGTATACATTATGTATTTGTGGGCTTAAATGTGTTTCGATACACGTATGCAAATTAGTGTTTTATGTATGTTTGTGTGTATATATGTCTGTATACCGGAGTGTATGTATGCATATACATGCGCATATGTTTGTATATATATACACATGCATGTAGATTAGTGCTCATGTATACTTGCAAGTTTGTGCTCGAGTACGTAAGCTCAATTGTGTACGTTAATGCACATGTATGTGCATATGTACCTGGATTCTGGATGTGCAATTCACATTATGTATATGTATGTGCTTGTGCACATTCACATACATGTGCATGTATCTACATGTATGTGCATGCAGATGTATCTGTGTTAGTGTGTGGGTCTTTATGTGCACATGTATGAATATATGTATCAGCATGTGTACATGTATGAAAATACACATAAATTCCTACAAACTTTGTTACAATCATACAATTCCTACATACATATATATACACACACATACAAACATATATACTTATACAAGAACACATACAAACACATTTACACACAGCACATGTGAACACATATATAGAAATGTACACACATTATAAATGCATACACATAAATGTACATGAATAAACACATGCATATACCATGCTCCTCTGCGTGCAAGCACATTCATATGCACATATATACATATGTGCACACACTCGAGCACAAGCATACAAGAATACATATTCGCATTAAATTGTACAGAAGCACTAATCTGTATGCATATATATATATGCACAAACATATAAGCATTGACATCCATATATATATAATATACACCTTAAAGATAGACAGGAGAAAGATACTGTCAGTATGCTGTAAGCTGCTACATCAGATTATGAATACATAAGCATCAAAGTCCTATGTTACTGCAGGGTCCATCTTTCAGAGTACTAACAGCTGCTTCATTAGGTTTAAACAAAATAACTACAAAAAGCTAACAATGTTTGTAATTTAAAATGTAAAGCAGAAATGTAGGCTCATGCAAAAATATCACTCATTAATACTCTGAAGTTAATTTCTTTAATACTGTGAAGTTAAATTGACTCTTTCTAATGCTAAGAGCACTGTCATTAATTATTTATGCTCCATTTCATGAATGCTAGGCTTAAGACTTGCGGATTTTTCTATAATATATGTGCCTTTTTAATTTAACATATTTATTAAATATGCCATTTTTATATTAGGAATTTTTATCTTTTTATAAATGTCTATGCTTAATTTTACATCACTAGAATTAAAAATTGTTAAATGCAGTAAAAATATTTTGTGAAACTTCAAAAAATTAATAAACATTTTTTTTATAAATTTATTAAAATAAATTTTTTAATTTAATATATTTATTTATTTTTTAATTTAACAAGCTGTCTTTAATATACACTGGCAGGGGAAAAAAAGAATGAAATACCATAAAATTTCTTGCTATGGGAAATTATAAATAACACTTTACCTCGTTATCAATATTTTATTGAAGATACATATAAAAATCTACATACACAAGTTACATAAATTAACATCATGCAAATGGAAATGCTTTGACTGTAGAAATCAGACAAATTAGAAGCACACATCTTTGATATGCACATTACAGAATGGACAATAAGTTTAAAAAAAATTACATCAATAAAGTAACATTTATCTACCTTTGAAATGCCTTAGTTATGAAAATAAGAAAAATTATTTATCCATTGCATCTGCTTAATAAACATATTATGCCAACTTTTTAGTCCGAAGTTATCAGAATTACAGCAACGACTGTGTTGAGATGGGTTGAAATGCAGGTTAGGACAACATGGCGTTTGTGTTTGACGATGTTGATAAGTATGGGTAAATCCTCCTTGATTCACATCTGTATAGTTATTAGAACAAATTGGTTGCATTTGATAATTATGTGGATAAAAATCAACAGATCCTCCTTCCCTTGCATCTCTGTGATTATAAGGTGCTGGTTGTGTTTGATAATAAGGGGGATAAGCAAATGAAGAATTTCCTTGATTTGAGTACAAATTTGCATTTCTATAATTATTAGAAGACCAAGTTTCAGGTTGATATGCAAACTACAGAATGGACAATAAGTTAAAAAAAAAATTACATCAATAAAGTAACATTTATGTACCTTTGAAAAATGCCTTAGTTATGAAAATAAGAAAAATGATTTATCCACTGCATCTGCTTAATAAACATATTATGCCAACTTTTTAATCCGAAGTTATCAGAATTACAGCAACAACTGTGTTGAGATGGGTTGAAATGCAGGTTAGCACAACATGGTGTTTGTGTTTGATGATGTTGATAAATATGGGTAAATCCTCTTTGATTCACATCTGTATAGTTGTTAGAACAAATTGGTTGCATTTGATAATTATGTGGATAAATATCAGCCGATCCTCCTTTCCTTGCATCTCTGTGATTATAAGATGTTGGTTGCGTTTGATAATAAGGGGGATAAGCAAATGAAGAATTTCCTTGATTT